TTGCCGTTAACATATATAATGGAGAGCATTGCTTTATATATATATATATATAGCATGAGGGTTAGGAATGTAGCTAAGCACATTAGAATCCTACAGAATTTTTATCTTACTTTCTTCTATGAAATCATTCTCCAATATCTATTCAGGAAAGACAAAGCTTCCTGTCCTGGCATCCGTGGGGCTGGCAGAACTCACCTGGGCTTGGGGCCTGCAGGAGCTTGTCCACAGCCACACAGGGCTCAGGAGCCTCTCCAAAGGGTGTTCAAGGAAGAAGCAGTAGTCTTCCCTTCCCACCTTCCTTCCTTCTTTCATGCACTAACCCTCCTTTGCCCTGGGCAATGTTTAGGGGAATGAGGCTACAAGATAATAGGGAAACCTCAGCACTTCTTTTTTTAAAATTTATTTTAATTGTTTTTCAAATACAGTTTTCTGTCTTTCGCTCCCATCCCAGCCCACCCCCCAGTGCTTCCCACCTCCCTCTCATTTGCACCCTTCCTTAGTTTTTATCCATGTGTCCTCTATACTTGTTCCTCTATACTTGTTCCTTCCCCTTTTCCCCTGAAATTCCCTCCATACACAAAAATGAATTCAAGGTGGGTAAATGATTTAAATATAAGCCATGACCCCATTGAAGTCCTAGAAAAGAAAATAGGCAGGAAAATCTCAGATATTTCATGCAGCAATATTTTTACTGATGTGTCCCCTAGAGCAAGGAATATAAAGGAAAGAATAAACAAATGGGATCTCATCAAAATAAAAAGCTTCTGCACAGCTAAATAAAACAGTATTAAAATAGAAATAGAACCAACTGTATTAGAAAACATATTTCCCAATGATACCTCAGACAAGGGTTTAATCTCCAAAATATACAAAGAACTTACACTATTCCACTCTAAGAAGACAAGCAACCCAATTAAAAAGTGGGCAAAGGACTTGAACAGACACATCTCCAAGGAGGACATACAGAGGATCCAGAGACACATAAAAAGATGCTCAATATCACTAGCTATTGGAGAGATGCAAATTAAAACCATAATGAGATACCACTTTACACCGGTCAGGATGGCTATCATAAACAAAGCAACAAACAAGTGTTGGAGAGGTTGTGGGGGAAAGGAGACTCTAGTGCACTGTTGGTGGGATTGCAGACTGGTACAATCATTATGGAAAACAGTATGGAATTTTCTAAGAAAACTAAAAATGAATATGCCTTTTTACCCAGCAATTCCACTGTTAGGAGTGTATCCTAAGAACCCTGAAACACTCGTCCAAAAGAACCTATGCACCCCAATGTTCATAGCAGCACAATTTACAATAGACAAGTGTTGGAAGCAGCCTAGGTGCCCGTCAGTAAGTGAATGGATCAAAAAACTATGGTACATTTACAAAATGGAATACTATACAGCAGAAAGAAAGAAGGAGCTCCTACCCTTTGCAACAGCATGGATGGAACTGGAAAGCATTATGCTGAGTGAAATAAGCCAGGTGGTGAAAGACAAATACCATATGATCTCATCTTTAACAGGAAGCTGAACAACAAAACAAACGAGCAAGCAGAATAAAAACAAAGACACTGAAATAGAGATCAGCATTTCTTTTTCAACCTGCTGTTTGGTGCAGGCAGGCAGGCCATGGGACCCCTGCTACCATAGAATCACATCCTGCACCGCCCTTCCCGTGAGGGCTGATTTGGAAGAACCACCTGGAGTTGATGGCCTCTAGGGATTCATGCTAGGACTAGGATGAAGGAATACCCTAGGGTGCAAAATTTAAGGAAGCTCTCACTTTAAGTGTTGACTCTATGGTTTGCAACCCTGAACCTGGAAGTGAGCACCTCTTTAAGAACAAGCTACCCACTGAGAAAAATTTAAGGAAGCACTTGTGCTCAAAGTCATACAAACACTAACTCCTGAGAATTAGTGCCTCCTTAAATTTTGCTCCCTTTGGACCTTGGCTTGCCTCACCTTACTCCTGACCTTGCTTGGGGTACCTGGTCAGGAAGCTGAAAGTCTATATTTGGGTGGCTGTGCCATTGTCTTATATTGCACTTCAGACCTCTTAAGGGGCTTATTAAGTTATTGGCATTAGAGTGAAATTCTCCCCCTGTCTGTTGTTGGCATAAACAGAGTATCTCAGTCTCGGGGAGGTCAAATGGCCTTAGGAAAATGCCTTGTTTGTCCTGATGTTCTAAAGGGGGAAAGGGACTCTATGTGGTGAGGCTCCTGAGGAGCATCTGAAAAGAAAAACTTGTAACTAACTAGTTTTGAGTGATAACATAAATAGAAAAGTCATAATTCTTTCTTCTGTTGACGTAACTTATAGAGTATCTTGCCAGTACCCGGAGACCCAACTGCCACGTCTCCAGGCCAAAGGGTGTGGTTGCAGTAAAGCAGCCTGAAGAATTCCTACACAGGAGCAAGTTCAAATCATTTGGCTGGCAGAGTGGGTCACGTTTTATAGACATGTTGCCACTTGCTTGGAAAGCTATCAATCTCTTCACATTGACGTGGAAGTCAAATCCTGTAAGACATTGGTGTATTTCCATTGCCTGTTGTCAGATAACTGAGAATGGAGTAAGGAGTGGGCAAGAAATGGGGCTGAGATGAATTCAAGTTCACAAGAAAATAGAAGCAAATGTACAGACCAAGACCTGCTTCTCAGTCTACAAAGCACTTGACCCACGGGTTTTCTACCTCCTTTCTCAGCCGTTTAGGAAGCCTGTCCTCTGGTAATTCACATGGTTGCCCCACACTCAAAAACCTTCCTCCGGCTACATCAGGTTATTCTACTTGGGTCCAGAGAGTCCAAAAAAACACGTTTGTTCCACTGAAGGACAGCTAGTTGAAATAACCTACCATGGGTCTTTACAACAGAGAGCTTTTAAATCAGACAAATTTGAGTATTAATGTGAACTTTGCCTCTTGTCATACACGTGAGTAACTTATTTGACCTCTCTGAACCTACGGTATTTTGCTGTGTATAATGTGCACCCACATTTTTGGCCCAAACTTTCAGGAAAAAAATCTTTTATTTTAATTATTTAACTCAGGTTTTTATTTATTTATATTCAGAAACAAAGCCAACTATCATATTCTAGGGCATTATATTTTGCATGTGGATATTGTTATTGCTTTCTAGAAACATTTTATTTTATTATTGTTCAAGTACAGTTTTCTATCTTTTACTCCCATCCTAGCCCACCCTCCCAGTGCTCCACACCGCCCTCCCATTTCCACCCCCTTAGTTTTTGTCCATATGTCCTTTATACTTGTTCCTGTAAAATAAAAGAATTTAAAACATTTATGTAGATGCAGAATTAGGGCTACCCATGTATGTGCATCCTTATTTTTCCCTCAAAAATTTGGGCAAAAAATGCACATTACACACAGCAAGATATGAAAATTATAAAATAGGGCTAATAATAGAGACCTGACAAGGATGGTGTGTTCAATGTGATCATGAAAATGAAGACTCTAAACAGAAAAATTATTCAGTAATGTCCGTCTTTCCCCCACCTTTGTAGGGATTATGGATTTAACTTAAGTAAGAGTCAGAGACTTGAGAAGAAAACTATCAGGTTCCCAAATTAATCCTACAAATGAGGGAACTGAAGTCTCCCTAAGAACAGGGCCTAGGAGCATGTTATTTTTGAATGGCAGTCAGTAGGGATGGAGTTAATCAGAAAACCAGGTTCTTCCCACCCAAAACATTCCTGCAAAGATCTCTGCAAGACATCATAGTCATTTCAGGTATGGCAGCTCAGTTACCAAATTATTTTTGTAAGCAGCTTCTCTACATCTTTTAGATTATGTCTCACATTCATTCATTCGTTCATGCCATAGTCATGAATTCCACAATATTTGTTGAAAGTCAAGTATCTGCCGAGTCCAGGATAAAGCACCACAGAGCCATGCCTTAGGCTATTAGGAAGTTCAGCATGGTCTACTGATTCTCAATTTATTTTCCATCTGTTCTGTAAAGCTACCTGTGACTTACTATAAATATTCATACATGCTAATCCTTTCCTCATATGAATTGACATTTCAGTATTCAAAACTAGCTCATCAGCCCAATGTAAGTATCTGTAAAAGTAACTTTCATGTGTAGTAAATGGACAACATTCAACAAAATCAGATTTATATTTGGAAAGCATTCTTTCTTTTTCCTTGCTTGGCCTGGAAAAAAAATGCTGCCAGTCTCACCATTGGTCATGGGAGAATGATCTCCCAATACAGTTATGCTGCATTTCTTTATTCTGGTAAATGGAGAAAACACATGTAAGCTACACAGCATGTGAAATAATATATTGTAAATAACAACTGACAACAGATAAAAGATATTTTAATATTTGAAAAAACTATGTACATATTAAGTCTCCATCAAGGAAAAGCCAAAACACATTCACTCACTTGAAGTTATTAATGAAATATTTTGGTTGGCCCCAACCCCAAATCCCTATTTTTTTTTTTTGGCATTTAGAGACTGATTTCAAATCAGCATCAAAGCAACTCAAATGTCTTCTTAGGTCAGCAAGGAAAAGTTATCCCTCACCCTTATTTCTAGCAGCAGGGCTTACTTCTTAGATCATTTCCAATAAAACCAGACTATCTGCGATACCTACAGAGTTTCAGAGAAGATCTCTAGGGCTGTCTCCCTGTTGCCATGAGCCATGGAGCAGACGGCCACCGTTCCCAGATGCCATGCCCAGATGCGTGCCTGAGCAGCTATGGGGCAGACTGGTAGAAACGAGAGCGGGCAGAAAGACAATGACTTCATAAATAGTGAGGCAGATGGTGGTAGAAATGCTAAGAGCAAGATTGGGATAATCGACCAGGTGTCTGAGAAGAGTCGAGTTACCAAAATCATCTGCTGACCAATGTTTAAAAAAAAAGTGAATGAAAGGAAACACCACATGCTTCCCATTAAACTATATCTATTCGCTGGTGGCAGTTCCTTGATGTTGATGGGACTATCATAAGAGAGACCAATGGGATTGATTGTCAAGGGCAAGAGACTTTGCCACTAAACAAGATGATGTCATTCTTCCTGATGACAAATAAGAATGGGTGATCGGCTCTGAACACTGTAGACTCGGGGAGCAGCTTTTCGACAATGTTGTTTCCGGAGACAGCCGCTGCCTCGGTGCCGTCCTCATTCACCTCGATGCGTGACTTGTGCACCAGCTTTGACAGATACAGGCGACCCCCTGAAGCTATGCCAGACAGATCAGCTCGGGACTCCTCAAAGATATCTGTCAGCCCCAAGGCTTTCAAATGGCGTTTGATTTCATAATCCTTCTCCATCTTGAACTGAGGAAGAAACACTCTGACATACTGTTGGCTCATTTTTTGCGGATTGGTCCATTTCATTAGATTCTCAAATGTCAGTTGGTTTTCAATCTGTAGGAACATGTACAAGGCACTTTAGAACCAGACGGTGAAGAAACAAATGAGAGAACTACAATGACATGGTTTCCCACCATGATCCTCTCCTGGGTACTGTATTTATGTGTAAGGATGTGATTGGGTCCTAGAGTGTTTGGAAATGGGAAATGATGAAAACATACTGTAAGCACTCTTTAATGAATCACATGTTTTATGTCTTCTGCTATGACAACGTGTGGCTGTATGATCGTATTCCAGGGAGTTTCGCTTCTCTGCCCACAAAGGAACAGGTATAGAATTCAGGACTCAGAGACCATCAGAGGGAGAAAAGAGCTAAGAAGTCAGTCATTATAATCGGTGCTGCCCAACTGTATCCTCATCACGAACACAGAAAATGGTAGTGTTTGCATTGCTCACAGGAGTAAACCAATGGAACAAGCCCCAGATGACCCGAGGCAAGGAACACAGAGCTGTAGCCTCAAGGACCTGGACGATCATGATCTCCCAGCACACCCACCCACCCACCCTGTCAGCGAGGCAGGGCTCCAAATGGACGCTCTGGCTCCACACAGGATGACTGAAACTCCAGACAACTCCGGGAGATGTGCCCATGGGCACAGCTAGGAAACTTAGCAACACAGCGAGGAGCCCATGTCTCTCTCCAACAGCATCTGCCCTTAAGTGACTCACATATTAAATTCACCAACTCCTGAGAATTAGTCATAGATTATTCCAGACATATAATTGGAAGATTTTTTTTCATTCACACTGTTTGCAGGTCTTATATATGAGCATTTGTTCTCAAAGCAGGCTCGCTGGAATCCTAAACAGATTCTCATAGCTATTCAACCTTCTCCGTATTCTTATCAAGAACCTGAATTTGTGTAATCAAATTTAGTCCCATTCAAATTTTCTGTGTGTAAATTATCCAGTTTGAAGTTAATCTGTCATAACTTTTTGAGGTTGAGTTGTTTTCTCATTTAGCCCGCTGCAAAGCCGACTTCCCCAGCACTATTTAGTAATGGAGGATTATGCAGACATGTGCACAAGTACTCATTGGACCCACACATTGGGCAAAATCTATTACAGAAAAAGACAACTTAGGCAGTCAGTACCAGGATAAATCTATCTTTTGACTTACCCACTGCTTGTTCTATCTAGGCTCCTTTCTCTATTATTGCAGAATATTTGAAGTTAAAATAATTGATGTGTGCTAAAATCTCATGGATATAAAGATTGTCCAGTGAATCATTTAATAAGAGTACCAACGCTTTATATTATCACACTTTCAATTTTAAAGTGTTAGATTATGACATTTCACTTGCTTTTCATTTCAAACAAGATAATATAACTGAAGAACCTGGCACATAGTAGGTGCTCAATAGATAGTTCTTCTGGTTGGAAGTACAAAGCAGGGAGATGAGATGTAGGCTTCTAGGAGTGAAGGCTGCAGACTGAGGTGGTCAAACTCATGATGAGGAGGAGGGGACAAAGGGTTGAAAGAATATGGAGATCTGAGATAGAGAGATGATGTCGGCTCATGCAGCCACCACTGTCTGCCCCTTGTACTGTGCTGGTTGGTTGCTTTTTGCTACATCAGTCACAGGGCAGTCCCTAACCTTTGCTTTTCCTAGAGACACAGTGGCACAGAGTGAGAGCACACATTGTCATTCTTAAAGGGTTAGGACTTCAAAACTCCATTACATCATTCCTGCCTGAAAATGCTTAGTCTGTCACACTTTCAATAGACATAAAGGACAGTTTTCATGGCCAAAGGCAAAGAACACAGAAACTCACACCCCTTCCCTGCCATAGCTGAGATATGTGAGGGCTCCGATATTACAACTATTCAAATAAAATTATGTTAATTGGGGGGATAAGGTGATCTTGACACTTGTAACCATGCTTGGCATGTAGTAAATATTCCTTAAATATTTGTCAAATAAATGAGCAAGCAGGTCAGTCTCTAATATTCCAATAACCTGAAATCTTAAAGCTGATGGATGAACACACAATTAACAATACCCTAAAAGCCACCCCTACCAGTGAAAGTGGGAGTGGCAACTTACCTGGAAGAGGTCACTCTTGGGCAGCATTATGTACATGCTTACGTCCCCATGATACCTGAGTTCAAGAACTTGCATGTTTGGGTCCTGAATGATGGACAAATTGAACTTCCGCTCCTGATACATCATGGCGACTATTTTCCCAGGACACTGGAAGTCAGGTCATAAGAACACGTTAATGAGCCCATCTTGTTTCACTCATTCACCAGGGATGAAAGGAAGAATGACTTCAGCTTCTGTTCACTTGCTCCTGCAGGTTTTTCCTGACAAGTTACCTATAGTGGTTGGGTTGGTGCACATCTCAGTGGTAACTGCACACACTTTGACTGCCCGAGCTTACAATTCCCCAGCTGTGTGACCTTGGGTAAGTCACTTCACTTCTCTGTGCCTCCATGTCCCATCTGTATAATGAGTGTAACGACAGTCTCCACTGCACAAGATCATTGTAAGGGTGGTGAGAGCTAATACTTTAGCTAGCACTTGGAACACTGCTTTGCACTGAGTGTTACCTCGGAAAATGTCTATATAATAAGTAATCAGTAATCATTAAATAGCATTACAATTGAAAACGAATGCTCTAGATTTTTACTCTATCCAAGGTAGAATACAGACCACTACTATCAAAATTACACAATTTAAGAATATAGTCTTATTTAAAAATTAATTCTTATAAAATATTTGACACTATTGCTCAAGTTAACCTGGAGGAAACACAATAGCTCTAACCTTGAGGACACCATCTGTGGATTTGGAAACACCATGGAGGTGGGATAAGCCATCCTTTTCCTAAAAGATGGTGTGATACTGCAAGCCTGTCGCCTTGCCTGTCCCATCTCCCTTTAGTACAGGAAGGTCCACAGCAGGAGGATAGATTATTGTCTGTGCTGGAACCAGAGGCTTCTCCCTCTGGAAAGGACCTCCTTTCTGAATAAGAGTTGGAACCTCGGAAAGAACACAGCTGGAGTGCTGGAGGGGAAACGGCTCCTGCGTGGAGAGATAGATCAGCCCAGTGAGCCCGGTGCAAACAGGGCCTGGCATGGCACGACCCAGTCTCGCATTTCCACACCGGGCAAGAACCACACAGTGGAGTTATGCTGGGAAGGGGCTGGAACAAGGCTTCTTGGCAAAGAGGTCATTTGACGTCATTGATGTAGAGTCTATGGTCTATTAGAAGCTCTGCACTTTAACTATAATATAAGGGACATAAGACAGGCAGGGAAATCATTTTAAACAGTTATTACAAACTGCAGAGGACAGGCTTGCCGCATCTTCAGCAGAGCAAATGAATCAACAAATGCAGCCTACTCTGTTAACAAGGTCAGCCCTGTCCCTAAAATTCCAGCACAGCCTAATGTCCTTCCTGTTGCAGTTATACAGATAATGTCTGTATATAGATAAAGACAGAGCTGCATTTTTATTAGGATTTATTATACCTTAAAAACATGTCTGTGCTCCTCTCTTTACTCCCACAGAGATGCCTGCATGGTGAACTTGCTCCTCAGGCCTGTCCCTGGGACCTTGCTGTTGACAGGGACTCGGGGCAGAGCTGGCTGTCGTCCATGCAAGAAGGTGCAGGGGGCAGTCGCCAGAGCCAGCCTCAGGGTCACCCTGGTCCCTGTCTACTCTTCACTCAAGTCTCTTCTCCCTCCTCTCAAATACCTCCCAGATGCCTTGCTCCTGCCACGCTCCTGTGGTTCCACCTGCTAGGTGGCCTCTGATGCCCCACCTCCGCACTGGCCCAGTGACCTCTCATTTACACCAGCCCTCAGTGTTCATGTGTCTTAAACTTCCGGCATGGGGAAACGCAGAGAGAGCATTTCAGCAGCACTTTCCATTTGAAAAATAAGACTGAGTATGGAAGTTAAATCTGAACTTCTCTGCCTCAACATCACAGACTGAGGGATGGGCAGGCATAGTAGACGAGAATTAATGGGACCCCTTTGCTTCACTTGTGATGTCTGCAGTGGCTGAGTGAACACGCCAAGACAAGGCAGCTTCTACGAGGCAAGGCGAGGACCCCACTGTGGTATTTCTGACTCCAAGGCTTTGATGTTCCTACTATACTAAGATTATTATGTACAAATTGGCTTAGAAAAAAAGAATATTTATTTTATGAAGGTGGTTTTAAGTCAAAGAGAAATAAATGATGACGTGGATATAACTGATACTTAGAAATGGATAACTTCAGTAAACATAATTTTATGTTTTGTAAAAGAAAACATATATTTGCTTTGACTCAGGAAAAATTGTCAATAGTAAATGACTCTGTGTACCCTGCTGTTAGACTCATGAAAAATAAAACTTACACTTTTGTCATATTTTCTTCTTACAGGCTCCCTGCCGGAATATCCTCAGATAAATTCATGCATTATTACTTTCCTTAATTTCAAATGTATTTTAAGAAATATCATATTTACAGGATGCCTCCCCTTGTGTGTTTCTATAACCTGCATTAGCAGGAAAACAGAAAGTTTCTTTTGTAAACACGTGTCTGTAACAGGGGCCTCCAACCTTTTGGCATCTCTGGGCCACACCGGAAGAAGAAGAGTTGTGTTGGGCCACACATTAAATATATTCCAAAACATAGTCACGAAAAAATCTTACAATGTTTTAAGTAAATTTATGGTTTTATGTCAGGCCTCCTTCATAGCCAACCTGGGCTGCATGGGGCCCCAGGGCCAGCCTGCAGCTTGGACCCCCTGTGCCTATGACACTGTTAATACAGTAGGAAAACATGGGCGAACTCAGCATTTGCCTAGTTAAATACCACAATTGCTGTAAAGAAATACGATCAGCAAAAAGCCTCCCTGCATGGAGTGGAGCCCATACCTGGGGAGACTTGAAGGGACAATGCAAGGTGTCGCCCTTGGGGAAGGCCGACTCCCACCGGCCTTTGAAGTACGCCGCATTCACTAGCACCATCACTGCAGATGAGCTGAAGCTTTCGTCGCCAATGATGTTCTTGATCTTGCCTTTTGGGAAATGAATTGAGGGAAAAAGTGAACATTTTAATGTAAGTTTTTAAAAAATTTAAGAGGACATGAGCGTATTTCTCTTATCATGGGATTATAACAATGACTATGTCCTTAGTACTCTATGCACAGGGACTCTGTCCAGCGCTTTTTAAATGCGTTCTGTGCAATATTTGGTTTACCCGTCACAAAAGCCCTGTGAAGTAGGCAGGGTAATTGTTTCCGGTTCCTGTCCAAGAAACTGGGCAGGGAGAGGGTAAGTGATTTGTACAAGGTCCCACAGCAAGAAGTCCTGGCGAGGGGATTTGCATCCAAGAGACAATTCCCAGACCTCTCCCTGCTCACGGGCACCAGAAAACCTTTATTCTCGAATGAGGCCGCAGCACTCTACCACATTGAAAGAGCTGATTCCTTCCTTTATTCCACAGTAATGAGATTTTTGCTAAATGTTTTGCACTACATATTCTGGGTACTTGAGTCACACCAGTGAAAGACACAGTCTGTCCCATCTGTGGGCGCACACCCCACACGCAGCTGCAGCACGCTAAAAGCAGGCACACTCAGTGCGTGGTGGGGTGGGGTGGGGTGGGGTGGGGTGGGCTGGGGGCCACAGGCGCCCTCTCTGGGTGGGCCGCCTGCTGAGCTGAGGGACTGTTTGCTCAAAGACTTGGAAGCTGGGAAGAGTGAAATGTATTGTGGACAGCCTGACGCTACAGGAAGAGCAAAGCTGAAGAAGTTGGAGGCAGGGGCCAAATAATGAAGAGCCTTCAGTGTCTGGTGAGAATTTTGGATGATCCTGAAGACAGCGGAGAATTGTTGTTCATGATTCATTGGAAGCCAAAAAAGGGCATGGTAATGACAGATGGGATTTGCATTTCCAGAGGACGGTTCTTGTCGTGTGTGGAAGATTGGCAGGGGAGAGGTACGGGGACAAAAGCTAGGTGTTTTTGCTTCAATACTGCCAAAATCTGAAGTGTTTCCCCAAATGAGTATTGAGTATACATGCTTATCAAAGTGAGAATAATTATATATGTATATATATGTTAACATGGAAAAAGAAGGAACAGAGATAATAAATGGTCTGCAGGGAAAAGAGTGTTAGTAATCTGATACCTTCAGGTGCTAAAGAGTAAATAGAAGCCCTTTCAGTTATTAGAAAGGTAATTTTGTAGTTTCTCTTGATGTGTGAATAGTAGATATTGAAAAAGTGTGGTGGCAATGATCAAAGTAGCCCTCTACTGATGTTATGATGAACTAATGAGCAAGAAGAAAGTTGAGACACTGTATTCTTGCTCCCAGGGCCGATTGCATCCTGCTGAATGTTTGCATTTAACTGTCCAAATCACATGTGTCATATTTCTAACACAGAGCCAGGTAACCAAATACACATGTATTGTTCAGAGTATAGAACAAAGCTAAGCCTTAGGTAGAGAAATGGCAAGCTTTGGAGTCAGTTGGTGAACCAAACAACAAGGAATAGATTTCCTTATTTGCTTTGTACAGAACATTATCTGTGACTCAATGTTGGGTTGTAAAAGTCACCCCCAAAAAGATGTACTTTTTCCTGAAGGTACTATGTATGCAACATATACTATTTTGATTTTAAACATTTTTAATGAAAGATAAAGTATGCATCCTTAGAAAAAGCAATGATATGAAATCTATTTCTTAGACAGCAAGATGCCATATTTTAATAAGATCCTTCAGTCCAAGAAGGAACAGCAAGATGCAGGATTAGTCATTAGAATAAACTACTTTGTGGTCATTAAAAATAATGTCCTGTAACCTACTCTTCAACTTGTTCCCTAACCAGGTATAAGATATTGAGGATAACTGAGTAAATTAGTTTAACTTATCACCAATTTATGAAATGGTCATCATAAAATCTCTTTGTCTCCCAAGATTATTCCAAAATCAAATGGGAAAATGTAATAGCCAAGACTTCTTAAAAGTATGAAGTATAAAGTATACCAGGATAAAGTATGAAGTATAAAGTATACCAACACCACATTGCAGACAAATACTAAAGCAATTTTGGATAACAATGATCATTACTCTGGATTGAAAGAGCAGTTCCTTCTATGTACAAGAGACTCCTAACTTGAACGTTGACAGCTCTCGACCTTCACATGTAACTGACAAATCTTGTAGAAAAATCAAGCGTTGCACTCACCATGTGTCTCATTTTCAACCCATTTATTCATTTTGTATTTGCTGTCTTGTATAGCATTTGTAAAGTCAACTCGTTCCACTTTGGCATGGTATAATTTTTCGGCACACTTAATATAGTCCTATAAATACAAATAATATACAGTTCTGTAAGTAATATGCAGTTCTTAAGTTTACAAATCACCAACTAAACATATAAAGAATATGTTCTTGAATTTGCCTCTTTGTTTTTACTACTTTACTCCAGGATTTATTCCTGCTTCAAAGATGAGGGAAATACCACTGGAAATAGGGAACTCTGGCTAGCAGGGAATAGGACAGCTCAAGCACCCAGCTGAATTTAAGTTTGTCTGGAACGAAGTGGGGAGGACCAACAGGGATAATGGCCAATGCCCACCCCTTGCCTTCACTGCTGCTTTCTTAGCATAAATGCTTCACGAGCCTCCAAACTTATGTCCCCCGTTCATACCAAAAACGTGTCAAGGCTGCTTTCTGCACTTATGATAAAGCCCAAATCCCCGGACCAGGCCTGCAAGGCTCTCCTGATCTGCACCCCACTTCCCTCACTTCTGGCCACTGTCCCTTTCATCCTCTGCTCCCTGGCCAGAGCCGGCTGCAGGAAGTTCCTCAGAAGGGCCATGCGTCCTATCTCTCCAGAGGTCTTTGAATGGCATCCACCTGTCTGGAGTGCTGCACTGTCCCCATGGTTCTGTCTCACTCATTTGCCAGTTCCAATAGATGCCTCTCCCTGAGAGAAGTCTTCCCTGGGCCTCCCCCACCCTGTGTCCTCCAATAATCCTTGAGCTTCATTTTCTCACCAGCTGTTATCACACTGCATCTTACTGACCTCTGAGATTTCTGGAGCCCCTCACAACACAGGAAATTCAGTGAAGTCGGGCCCGTGTGCATCTTACCTATCACTGTATTCCTGGCCCCTGGCACATTGCCTTGCACAGAGCTGGGGCTCAAAAAATATTTATTGTTTTTAATAAAAAGACATCATAGCGAGCTAATTTGGCAATACACCAGCAGTACAACAAACACAGACATATACATTTTGAGGGAAATATTTTCATAACTGGGCAAAATAAGATTCATTGCAAATCATACTCTCATGTGTATTGTCAAGAGAGAGCCTGATACATTTTATAGGATTTCCAACCCTGATCCTGAGGGTTGGTTAGATATTCACACTCTGCCTGCAGGATGACATTACCTCCATAAAGAAGGCTTGCTGTGTAGTTTCCATGAATAAGGCCCTTTCTATCTTCTGATCCATCCATCCATTTACCTGCCCATCTACTCTGACACTGGCTACAAAGAGTATTAAGAACCAGTCCCTGGCCAGAGAAGTTGATGAGTGCAGAGTGTCAGCATTTCCACAAAATTCTAGACGAACTTTGAGCCATCAAGAATTTGTGTGTGCGTGAGATACACATAATTTTTGTTAGCCCAGCCAGTAGGTTTGCCAATCTCCTTCAAGTGCCGCTGCGTATTTCCCTAAAAAGAGATACATGAAACGTAAATGACAAGGAATCAAACTATTGAGATTGACTGTCAGTCCATATGTTTATTCATCTTTTAAAGATGTTCTTTCATAAAATGTATATTCAAGATTTTCTACCTGGCTGTTTGTGTTTTTTTTTTTTTTACTGTCTTATAGGGGCTCCTGGTTTGGACGTCAATGTCTTCATGCTTCTACAAACTGCAAATATGTTCAACCATTGTGGTTTGCCTTTTCACTCTCTTCATGATGTCTTTCAATGAAAATAAATTCTTAATTTAATGCCACCTCTCCTGTCTGCTTTATCCTATATGATTAGTGCTTTATGTATCCTAAAATAAGGATTTAAAAAATCTTTGCTTCTCCAAGGTCTTTAGAATAATATTTATCTTCTAACACTTTGTTGTTTCACCATTCACACTTATATATATGATCCATCTGGAACTGATTTTTCAGTTCAAGTGTCTCCGTATATGTCTGTTTTAGGATTTACCACTGTGTTCCACTGATTTATTGTCTATCTTTGCAAAAATGTCACAAATCTTAATGATTGTAGTTTTAAGCCTTAATTTTTCAGTAATATAAGTCATCTGAGTTTTTTCCTTTTCTTCACCATTAACCTTTCTTAATTCTTTGCATTTCCATGTAAATTTTAAAATCAGCTCATCAATTTCTCCAAAATCAATTGCTTTGAAATATATAAATAAATAGATATGTTTATAATATTGTGTTCTATCCATAAACAAGAGACATCCTTTGTTTTTAAATTCTTCTTTCTCTTTGCAGCTTTTTTGTCTTACGGACATCTTCCATTAGATTTATTCCTGGTATTTGATGTTTTCTAATGTCACTGTAGATGTTATTATATTTTATTTTATTTTTAATTATGAATAAAGCATAGAAATACAAATAAGTTTATATGCTAAACAGTTATTATATTCACTATTAAATATAATAACTGATTTCTAAAATCTTTTAGATTTTCTAGATACACAATAGTTATCTGTGAAAAATATATCATTTTACTTCCTCCTTCCCAATCCAAATACATCTTACTTTTTTTTCTTCCTGCCTATGACCTCCAGTTCAATATTCGTACTTGTTATGACTTCAGTAAAATGTTTATGGTGATACTGCAGAAAACATATTCTCCTTGCTCCTGGTGTTAAGGCAGAAACATCTGTCATTTTACCAAGAATTTTTATATAGAAAATTCCCTTTCTAGCCGTGACCCATGTGACTCATTTGGTTCAGCATCATTCTGCAAAGTGAAAGGTCTCCAGTTCAATTCCCGGTCAGGGTATATGCCTGGCTTTCGAGTTCAGTCCCTGGTGGTGGCATATGCGAAGGCAACCGATTGATCTTTCTCTCTCCCATCAGTGTTTCTCTCCCTCCCTTTCTCCCTCCCTTGTCCTCTCTCTAAAACTAAATAAATTATTTTTAAAAAACAAAATTCCCTTTCTAGATTGTGACAGTTTTGTTTTCTGCATCTATGGAAATCTCCCACTATTGTGAATTACATGTATTGGTCTTTAAATGTGAACTCAACATTGAATCTCACAGTCGTCTCTGTCTCCCCATTGTATCTGCGTGGTTCTTGGCTCTTGGTCCATGCTCAGGAAATAGCTGTTGAGTACTGATTGAAGATGGTACATTAACGCCACTTTAATTTGAGCTGCCACAGCAGAATGATGCATACTTTCCATTTTCAATGCACATCAAAGATTCAAAATTACAAATTAAGCCATAAAAGTTGGGAGCCATAAAGACTATTTGGTAAAATTCTCTTATTTCATCAACAAGGGAGCTGAGGTTTGGACACATCTACTGACGACTGAAGAGCAGTAAAGTGACAGTGTTAGGACTTGGGTAAACTCGACTCTCCACCTGGCAGTCTCTTGATTCCTCTACCCAAATGCCTTTAAAACAGTGCATCTGTGGCTCAGTCATTTGACAGACCCTTTGGTTACACAGAGCACCATAGGACATCAGGTTGGAAAGAGTGGTTCTGACAGTTCTTGTCCTCCTACAGGCTATGGTTCTTCCTTCTCCCCTTCAGGGGCTGTCCCCCACTGTCAGTGGTCTGGGTGGTACTATTCTCTGGGCTCTGCAAGGATGCGGTCACCTGGCTGAGTTGTTGAATTAAAATTTTTTGACTATTGTGTCCCTGTAAGCAGAGGGGGCTAAGATTTCCCCATCTTGTGACCAAGAAAAAGTTTTCTCTTTTTAAAAAAAAAATTAAAATAAATGGCTTTCTTGAATCAAAGTTCCATTATGGTATCATGATGTTTAGACTATTCCTTATCTCTCACTTTTGAAAATATCTGATGGTCTTCAAGTTGTAGTGAGAAGAGTGCCCTTTGAAGCGAAAACACTTGGGTGAATTCTGCATGCTAACCTTCAGTTCCCTCGACATTTGATGAAGATAAATCACATGGCTTTTGATTTGTAAGAACCAGCTGCTCTATCAACCTCACTGTTAATCATCTTCATGTTAATAAACAATGAGCAGATTTTGTCTCCACTTTCCCGGTTCTTGTGCTTTATGGTGCTTCTAGGTGCATTGCTCTGCACACACACCAAGGGCCAGACAAGGGACCATGCGAGTCCACTATAAATAGTAGCATGATAGACACATCAACTTACAATGTAAGAGAGTTGGCAGCCCCTCAGGGACACAGCAGTATGTGTGGCAAAATAGAGACACAACATGTGGAGCCGAATGTACAGGGTAGCCCCTGTAATGCTTATCTAGGATTCTTTGGGGAAGATCACAAAACAAAGAGCCCTAATGCTTCCTAACTGGCAAGCTGCCAAAGGACTCGGGTGTGGTGTGGGAAGGGGCAAAGAATGTGAGTGGGTGACAGTCAGAGGAGACAATAATGGCTGGGTGGAACCCAGAGAGCAAGTGGCGATGAGTCCAGAGATGTCACAGAATAGTTGTCTCTGAATTGGAGAATTGAAAGGGAGGACAAACAAGCCCAGAGAATCATGGCCGCTGTGTCTGCCTGCACTGCACTCACCAGGTTCTGGTTGGTTGGCACAGCGACAATGGTTCTAAAGCATGTGCTGTCCGTGGCAACATGCACAGTGCATTCTGGTCTGTTGGTCTTTGGATGATCACAGTACTGCGGTAAATGAATTGATAATACAAACACCACATACTAACGCTGCAATTTAGTCTGCTGACCTCAACAGAACCTATTCCCCACCTCTGTGCCCAGCCTGAGCTGCTCCCCTGCCAATGGCTGGCCTCCTCAGGCTAGGTCTCTTACTGGGAACACTTCATAAATGATCTTACTGAAAAGATAAGTAATTCAGTGCTGCAAGGAGACATGAAAGGCCACGAATGAAAAAAAGGAGGTGGATGCAACACTGGAGAAATGAGACTACCCCACTAGACACAAAGCTCAGAGAAAAAGTGGACAGACTTTTCCCCTCCTTCCCATGGACACCCTAAGTGGGCAGTGTCCTTCCTCCACCCAAATGACAGCTTCACAACATGGCCAGGAGACAAGTTCTCTTTGGTTTTGGAGGCTGCCCACCTAGGGACTCTGAATATGTGGATCATTCAGGTGAAGTAATACCCTAAAAACAAACGATGGTATTTTGAATACACCTGAGAACATAATCAGTAATAACAGGAAAAAGTCCACTTTGAATGGCTCAGTAGAAAGATGCAAGTCTTTATTCAGATGCTGGATTGGAGAAGACTCAGGACCAGAGTGGTAATAACCTTCTAAGACAGGAGACTGAACTTACCTCATGAATGTCAAACACTTTTTCTGCAAAAACGCCATTGACCATGGTGAGTTCATAATCTTTGTGGGGTGTGTTTATATCAGAGACAAGCCTATTCAGTTGAGACTGGAGTCCTTGCTGTTATTAAAAAGATGTATAAGATTTATTCTTGTACTGCAAATATATGCATATTCTTATTTATGTAGAAAATAAAATATCATATTATGAAAGAATTGAAAAATAAGAACACTATAGAAGCAGCAAACAATGCTACATAAATCAATAGTTTCTTCTCTTTCTCACAATAGTATCTGTAATCAAAGAGAATTAAAAGATTTACTAAAATAAATGATTAGCCTTTGAATAAAATTATGAACAGAAGATAATGAATTTGACTACAATGTGTGCTGAATAATTCATTTTACCAATGTAAGTTGGCTGTGAATATCCAAGATAAAAGTAAAATATTTAGTTCTGCATAATCTTGCCCAAAGCTGGCTGGCACACGAGTAAAATATTGGTAAATTAATAGTTAACAAAGAAATCACCAAAAAATTATGTCTGAAATATTTACAATATGAAAATCTGAATATAACATGTTCTTTTGCTTTTAAAGGAGAGCGCATAATTCAATATATCAACTAGACAAGAATTTTTCTAAATCTAGTCTGCGGTCTGTTTTTCAAAGGAAAACATGGTCTTTACCTGAGCATTGGAAGAGTTTCCACGTCCTGAGAGTCTGTTGTAGCGGAGGACCTGCAAACAGGTTCAAAGGAAGCAGTTAGCAGACCACGCTGGACAGGAAGGGACCTGGCGAAATAAAATAAGGCGTGGAGGCCTCATTGGTGGAGTGGGTGTGTGACTGTGTGTGAGCCCCTGGGGCAGGAATGAATGTGAACTTCATTGGCGGAGTGTGTGTGTGAGTGTGTGTGAGCCCCTGGGGCAGGAATGAATGTGAACTTCATTGGCTGAGTGTGTGTGTGAGTGTGTGTGAGCCCCTGGGGCAGGAATGAATGTGAACTTCATTGGCAGAGTGTGTGTGTGAGTGTGTGTGGGCCCACCGGGCAAGAATGAAATGTGCGGCTGCCCTACTTCCTTGGCTGAAACAGGCAGCTCACTGGAGAAAGTACAAACTGGGAGAGTAAAATCAATGGTTGCAAATGAAATGTGTTTAATTATTTTAGTTTCTTCATTCTGGGGGAGTAATTAAATAATTACTCACTAACTAAACCTAGATAAGGATAAAAAGGGGTCAAATAAAAAATGGAAACTTTGTTTAATTAGGTACGAGGCAAAATGAAGGCTAACCACATAGGCACCAAAGCATAAAACAAAGGCGATACTGACTATCTAGAAATTCCTAAAGCTGAGCTAACTTGGGACTTGGGAGGTACAATTTCTGCCCCTGCAATTATTTGAAAGTAAGCAGTTTTACGTTTCTCCTTTTCCATGGCGGCTCTCACAGCCCTGCCAGTCTAATAACTGCCCTATGCCCAAGTCTTGAATTTCTGTTGCATTTTATCTGAAGACCCCTCAAATCCTTATGTCCACAGGATCTAAAATAAAAACTCATCACGAGGGAGTGACAAAAGTGTGCTACCCATATGACAGTCACCTGTGCAAGTGACTAGGCCAGACAACGTGTGTGCTGTCTCTCAGGCATGGATGGACAGGACACGGAGATAATCATGGACTCACTCAACATATGTTCCTCCAACCAATTGCTGGAACAGTCTCGGTAGCCACCAGGCAATGGTGTTTTGGTCGACTGTCTCAGTTTGTGATTCTTAGGATCTTACTAGTTGGAGTTTTGTAGAAATACAGTATGAGGCTTTTCCTTAAGGGATCCTGTATGCTATATTTGAACCACACCTATAGAGAGCAGTGGGGGTAGGCAGAGGGAAATTTAATTAAGCCAGTCAGCCTTGCCCTCAGTGCCTCTGTGGGGGCTTTTGATGTCAAGACTTCTGATCCCCAATTTAGAACACCACCTTATTGGCTATGGGAAAACAGAACAGCTCAGAAAGAGATAGGAAAACTTAACAGGGCCAGGAGTACTACTATTACCCTTACCAGATCAGAGATTTTACTTCATTTCTAAATCCTCATAATCTCCAGTAATAATGTGTGATGAAGTGAGACATAGGCAAAATCAACAAGGCAATTTAATATACAAATTAGAAGTTAATTTAAAAGCACAAGTGTGGTCTTTGCAGGCATCAAAGCACCTTTCTTGGCAGCCTTAGCGTCATTTTTGTCTCTAATTCAATGATGTTGTGAAGCTTAAAGAACATCAACCCCCTTTTTCATTTTACTTTGGAGAAACATGGAGATTTGCAACAACTTAAAGAATGCTGTAATTATTTCTTCCCCATTGATAGAGTTGTGACAGTTTTGTGGTCAATTTCATTGTGACTATGACCCCTCTATTGGTGGACATGGAGTTGGTCACTTGTCATTAAAAGAGGAAGGTTCAATAGGGACCCTTCATTTCCATGGAATCATTTATCTTGTCGTTACAAGGAGAGGAAATAAAAGAATGAGTCCTTATAACTTGGACAATATCATCATAATTTTTTCATTTTATATGATAACATTTATCTTAGAAACAGATGAAATTTACCTCTCAGCACCCCAAAAAAGAAAATGAAAAGGTTGCAAATGGAAGTTATCACCAATGATCACCTCAATATAGCAAGGAGAGAGAGAAAAGCGCTAGCCAGATGCTGCCCTTGAACTTGAACTTGAGCTTGAACTTGAGTGGTCCTTATGTGTCTTTCCTCCCTTAGATGAGGAGTTGGGGGTGGGAGGATCTAGTTCTATGAGCTTTGAAACAGCTCAGGGAGAAAGATTTAACCAAAAGAAAGCCGAGAAAACATTGGGAGTCATGGTTATTATATGTAATCATGAGTAAAATATCAATGGCTTTGTGGGAAAACCTCTAGAACAATGTCTGCTCCTCAGAGTTTTAAACATCTTATTCACTATCTTCTCATGAGAAGCTAATAATTAATGTGAAACCTAGTAAAAAGAAAAAAAATTTCCCCCCTTTTAGCCAAAATCTTTCCTTAATCAGACTAACTTTTTAAATCTCTTGTAGTTTTCTTTAAAAAAAATGTCCTGAAGTTACCATTGGATAGATTGGTATTTGGAATTATATGAATCTACTAGAAAAATAAGATTCCACCATAATGTGCCAGGATTCAAAGATCCAAATGTCTTTTCTGAGCTAACTCTCATGGAACCCAGACAATATTATAAAAATTATATGAATCTCCCGAAATCGTTCTTCTTAACCTTTAAGAAAAGCTTTAGTATCAATATTTAACAGCACTCTTTGATTATTTCTAATTGTATTCCATTTTTGTATTAATTTTGTTGTTTTCTTCTCACATTTCTAGTTGACTTTAACTAGACTGGTACCATAACAAGGTGATACATATCTATTTTTATATATTTTTAAATTCTAAGAAATTATAAATTAAATGATAAAACTACCATAGCTAAAGATGAATAATGATACTAGTAAATATTTAAATGTGATAAATATTAAGTGAAATTTCAAAGGGTATATCTACCATAATCCAAATTGCTAGGAATCCTGTACTTTCATATGCCCTAGTGTTTCTATGCAGAAAAATTAAAATTTCTTTTTCTTGTTAAATATCTGGTAACATACCCAGATGATGGCAAAAAGAGGCATATTAGGGGTTTATACGGTGTTAGAAGTTCTGGGATATTAGGATTGGGGTAAAAACAGAAACTGTGAGTCACCTGTGTCCCAGTGGGCTTCCACCGACATTTTCATGCCAAATGTCAAAACCATCATATCTTCCCACAGAGGTGGTAGAATAACCCATATATTACAAGTCGTATGTCATATAAGTCACATATAAGTCAGATCTTTTTCGTATAACCTAATTGTGTTTTAGAAAATTTAAATTTGTGTAACTTTTAAGTAATGTTATAATGAAAAACATTTAGGATACAAATTTATGATGTATTCTATTTCATTGGGAATGTCATATGAAAGAGAAAAGAGGGGAAGGAAGCTCAGAAAAAGAAAAATACATTTTTAAAAATGTGATGCAAAAACCAGAATGTACAGTAATGTTAGAGCTAAATAAAAATATACACCTGAACTCCCAACCTTGTAAATAAATATACTTTTCTGATTCTTTCTCCAAGATGGCAAGCAGCTCCCAGCTCCCTTTGACTCTGTGGAACCTCACTACTCAGGCCAACTCTGGACTTTCACACTATTATCTGGTAAAGGAACCATGTAGTGTGGTTTGGTTCCTTTGTAGGAGTGTACAAACCACATGCTTTGTAGAGAGTAGCTGACCCCTCCTTGAGCCAAGAAAATTCAAGACAGGTCTAGAACATCTTGTTGTCTGTAAGCAAAGGTATTTTAAAGTCATCTGGAAGAATTGATTTACTTTAATAATTTTAAATGTATTTGTTATTGTTGACACTATTCTAGATTCCCCCTTCCCCACCCCTTGCCACCCCCCTCCACCAAGCCCCCGTCCCCCACCCCCACCTACATCACATTCTTGTCTGTGTCCATGGGCCATACACATATGCATATATATTCTTTAGCTAGTTTAAAGGGATTCGGACTGGCCCACCCAGGACCATGTGAGCATCAAAAAGAAAAGAAGTCTCTTGGCCCATGGTAGTGCTTCAAAGAGACATATAGATGGAAGCCATAATGAGAGGGGTCCCTGGGTGAAGGGGGTGGTGACGGCCACCACATGCATCCCGGACCTGGTGTCTCTACTGCTACCAAATTGCGATGACAAATTCCTGAGAGAAGAGAGGGAAATGGTGACCATTCACTTCCCCGTACAGCCTGGCTCAGGGCAGTGTACAAGAGTGAGTGAACAGGTACTTTCTAAAGGTGGTGGTGACGATCTGGTGGTTAGGCAGGCTGCTGTTATCTGGAATGTTTTATTATGCCATTTGTGCCCAGTCACCAGAGCTTAAACTAGGACTTCCTTGGTATCTCCTTGGAACTCTTCTTTTCATCCATATTTATTGAAGTACTGGTTCTCGAACTTTTCTGTGCACCTAGAGAGTTTATCAAAACCAGGATTGTGCGGGGCTCCAGCCCATGGTTTTTGACTCAGTAGGTCTGGGGGAGGCCTAAGCATTTGCATTTCTAACAAGCTCTCCAGCAGATGCTGTTGGTGCTGGTCTGGGAAGTACACTTCAAGAACCTGTCCTAAGGAAAAGGACCAAAGCTGCAGTTCTGAAAATATTCTTGCTATCTCCCAGCTGCCAAACAAGGCCTGCCAGCTGTGTGCATTCTTCACATCTGAAGAGGGGCTGGTAGACATGCCCTCACTGCCCTGGGACCAGTGCCATCGAATGGTTTCTGGGTGAGAACTAGTTGCCCTGAGGACTAACTGCAGAAGCCACGGTCGAGACTGACCTTGTCCATCTGAGAAGCACAGTCACCTCGTGCGCCCAACCGGACCACAGCCAGGGCTGTGAAGATGCTCAGAGAGGAAAAGAATACATTTCCATTTCCCTGATTGTTATCCATCTCTCGGAAGAGGTCAAAGCCGAAGTCTGCATTCACTGCAGCAAAGGAGGCCATCGTGAAACGGAGTGCCACCTAAAGAAGAATGAAGACACGAAATGGGTTTTGAGGACATTTTCCATCAGTGTCATGGGTTTTATATTCTTTTACTTTCTAAATGCTTTAGTTCTTCAGCCTTGGATATAACCATAAATAACTTAGAACAAAAAAAATGTTCCTTTGCTCCAGCATTCTTGTTGCCAACATGCCAAAACTCTCTCTTCTGGCAAAAAGAATATGATACACTTGTTTTTTACATTAATATGGTCTAATGCAATGTCCTTATGATTCTGCCCATGGTCTCATATTCATACCTAGCACATATTCCCATTTCTTCTTGATGTGGCATTTCTATCGAGTGGCCTCTGATAGTTTCATTTTAAAGCCCTAAACAGACACATTCATAAGGTCTATTCTAAAATCACCCTAGATGTCTAAGCTGAAATAAAGCAAAAGTACTGTTTGCAGTAAAATAAATATTATAATATTAGACAGTCTATTAAATGGGCTCTAGTCCTGGAGATTTAATACAGCACTTTCTTAGTCATTCTCTCCATTACAGCCTGCATACACATTTTTAGAATAATCATACATCCTAACTTTGGGGGGAACATCCTAATTTTCAATATTATGTACCTTTGGGCCTATAAAGTATATTTATTATTTTCAAGATTTTTTCTGCTTCTTCTGGGAATGGAAATATAATGGTCACATTATGTATCACAAACATGCATAAGACTTTCCAAATACAGAAGTCTTTCTCTTACTAGAGAACCTAAGGTATGGAAGCAAATTTAGAATCCAAGATGAAATTGAGAGTATCCTTAAATTCTTAATGGTGTTCCTGCCCACCCCCCAATGGAATTCTTCAGGAATCTGTTTTGGTATTTTTTCTTGCAGACTTTCTACATAATATTCCAATAGGTCCCAGTACCACAGTAGAAGTCATCTCAGTCCATGTGAATTAACATGAATCCTCCAAATTATTCTTCTAGAATATTCTGTGTCATCACACCCTATGGTGTGGCAGGTCCCAAGAGATGTGAACCCTTAACGGACCGAGTCCTAACGCCAAGCCTGTGGCTAGTAACTGTGTGATCTGGGTCAATTCTTTAACTTCTCTGAGTTTCAAAGTTTCACATTCTTCAGTGAGATAATCAATTTAAAGGACAGAAAAACATGTATCCTTCCACCCTGACCCCTGTCAGAGGGCCACACCACAGCATCAGAGCGTTTGGGGTGAGGTGTCAGAGCACGGGGTGGAAACTAAAAAAGAGTCAGGAGAAGGGACATATTTGTGGTTTGCAACGAGAATATTCTAAAACTGTCATCATACTTATTTCAGTGAAGTCACAGAAACGTAATGACTTGCAAAATTAAAAATGACACTAAAATATGTTTTCAATTCTATTTTACCAAATAGGAGCTTGAGTTTAACAATGAACTTGAGAAACAACTCTATATAATGCCTGACCCATTGTAGATGGTCAGTGGATTAAAGCTGCTGCAGTCATTGGTCTCTACTCTGTCCTGCAAAGCATCAACTTAGATATTTACAGAGTGTTCTAAGGACCCCATATTGTGCACTTTGGAATTCCAAACACTGAGAACATCATGGAGGCACTAGGCTGTAAATGAGACTGTCTTTCAAGGTCAAATTCAGCTACCTTTCAGTTCACTATGGGTCCTACTCTACAGCTACACCCCCAAGAACACAGAGTGAGAAAATCATTCACACTCCACATACCCTTTAAGAATGAACATCTACATTTTTTATAGCCATTCAGAAAAATTTTAACTGATTTCATACAGAATCTAGTGGGCAATATTAGCATTGTCTGTGGCCCCCAAACTTTTCAGGGGTTCAAAATCATATTTTACATCTAAAAAAGTAAGTCTTATTTCTAAAAATATGGAAAAATTATAAGATTAAAATTAATAAATATACCAGTAAATACACCAAACTGAAGCACAAGTTGGTTTTTATATTAAGTTTAGAAGTCATAAAAAGTTCCCTAATTTTAGAGAGAAAATGTGAGCTAGGTTCTCTTAAAACACTTTCCAAAACTTTGTATTGATTGCTGAAAATCATAATAAGTGAAATTAATCACTCTTAGAAAAGTAACTTTAAATGCAAAATCATAATAACCCTTTTAAACTTTTTACAGTGAAAATTATATTTAATGGAGAATTGTGGGTGTATTTTAATACATTTGGTATAATATGGACTAGAATCTTCAGAGTGAGACTTGAAAGATTTTTAAATGACCCTGTTTGGAGACCTGTTTGGTCCAATGTGGTCTGGAAGCTACTTGGTAGTAACACATTCCCAAAGCACAAAAATACATTTTTCGATACATTTTTCTTTGGTCACGCTCCAACTTGTCTTATTGCTTTACAAATTTAAGCTTTAGTATTTTACTCCCTAGGGTGAAAAAACTCTGCCAAATAATTCTTTAAGTCACAATTTTTAATGCTCACCAAAGGATATGTTTTTCAATTGATTTTAGAGAGAGAAGAAGGGGGAGAAAGAGAGAGAGTAGCATCAATCAGTTGCCTCCTCTGTGTACCCCAGCCAAGGACCAGACCCTCAACTTAGATATGTCCCTGACCAGGGCTCAAACCTGAAAACTTCTGGTGTCTGGGACAATACTCTGACTTACCTACTGAGCCCCCCCCATCAGGGCTAACTCCCCCATTTTCAGTTTCTTTAGTCACCCTGGTGCCTTTCACAAAATATTGAAGAGAAAAGAAGCTACACATAAGTTGGTGTGTTCAGGCTTCAAGTACATATTTGTTATCACTTCAGCAGAGAAACCACAGTAGAAAAATCATCATTATGGAGAAATAGGAACCTAGACATTCCTAGACCATCATCCATTCACAGGCAATGGCTTCTAACGTGATAAATGGCATTAGATTACACATCTTTCAGCATTCTTGTTCACACATGTTGAAAATAAATACCAAAAAGTATGTTCACTTCACATAATTGATTTTATACGCTGTGTGCAGGTATGCTGCGGGTTCCAGAAATGGGAGCAAGATTCTTTCCTTCTCCTGCCTGCTCTTGTTTACAAATTCAACCCTGACTTAATTTCCAACGGGGGAAAGATGAGTAAATATTTACATGACACCAAAACTGGGATTTTTCTTTCTCTTATAATTTCTTTTCCCAGCAACTCTTCAAAACCAAGAACAACAAAATACAATGAGCCATCAACAACTATACGATGACTTGGGTCCTGGCTAAATAACTAAAGGAAGTAAAAAAGAAAGTAAGTTTTGTTGCCAGAGAAATAATATCGGCATGATATTGTCCGGTATGCCGTTGTTCAGACTTAGCAATGAAGAAAAATTCCTTTCCTGTGGTAAAAACTTGGCTTTCAACTAATTTTATATCTCACTCCAAATATACTATATTCTCGTGTTTCTTATGTAGGTATTTTTAGCTTAATATATTGATATGTGGTTGATTTATAACTTTCAAGTTAGTAAAACTCATGAAGATTTTTCAGTCCCAAAGACACTTGAGGACCAAAAAGCCCACAGAAGCCCGAAGTCTACAGTGTATTTCAGTCTCAGAAATGTGCTACACTTCCTCCCTGTCGTCAACACAAAAGGTAAATACGTTCTCACTAAAGCACTTTTTTAAAGTCTAATTAAAGGAAAGAAAAGTGATTTTTAAATAAAGCCTAAGAAAAACCGGGGACAAAACACATTCAACAAAACAAAATTATAATGATAGTATCTCATGGACCCAAGCATAGTATTCTTAATTGATAAATCATATTATATACCTTAAATATTTGATCAAGGTATTATCTAATCCTAGAATATTTTTGTCTGTATAAAGAAAAATAATCGTATTTCATAACATATTACTGATGGAGAAATAACTCCTGCGTAGCAACCCAAAATACACATATTAGAGGAAAAAATGAATAACTACTATTTCACGTGTTTATTTTTATTGTCATCATGTAAGTTAAGTGGAATGCTATAGTTACTCCTTTATAGAAATATTTTCAAATCTTTTCATTTCTATTAAAAAATACCATTTCAAATATTGATAAATCCTTAATGAGATGTGCACTTTACTATGTAATTAAAAGAGTTCAATTCTAATCTCAAAATTAGTATATTTCTATCTGCAGTGCCTTAAATAAGGACACTGGACCTATAGACTCAAGATTTGTACATCATTCCCTAAATGCTGTTCATCATTCCAAGAATGCACCACGAAGTGTTCCTTGGGTCTCTGACCCCCACCCGGTGTGTGCACCAGCCTCCCTGGGTCACTGCATGGAGACAGCCATAGACACAGCCGTCACACAGAAAACCTGAGACCAGGACCAGGCAGCAATTTTGATATGGTTTGAAGAGTTTAGACTCTCAGATACAGAGAAGCACCCACACTTCACTCACTTCCCTCTCTCAGAAGTGTCTGGCCAGACTTTCAGTGGCGGGCTTTAGAAATATTTACCTGACTCTCTTCATAGAGGAAGGTGGCAGCTGGTTGGGTAAGTCTGACGGAGCACCCTGTGCTGCTCTGAGATATAAAGCCTCTGACTCAGACACTCCCTGCTGCCTTTTGTGATGGCCGTGGTAGTTCTAAGTAATGTCATTAAGACACACTTGTGGTTCAGACCCTTCCTAGAGCAAATTAAAAGAAGTGGGTAAAGTATTAGCTACAGATCCAATTCAAAGAAGTCAAAATAGATATTTTTAATAAGTCAAATTTCAGCACAAAATTGTGTTTAATTTGATATTAGCATCACAAAGTAATTTCACATAGGGTGTGTCGATAACATACATTGTGGTACAACTAGCATTTACATATGGAAAGGTATGTTTTTACAATCCAATCACTGATTTTTGTTATTGTTTGTTCAATTCCTCCTTCTCCTCTACCTCCTCCTCCAACTCTGGTATCTGAGGAGGAACACATCACAGCCTCACTTTCCAGGTTTCCTTTTGCAACATGTCTGAATGCAACTATCACAGAGGAGCTTCAG